ATAAAATAGTTGTTTTCTAAAAATTCATAAATATATACTAAAAGGAAATTTATAAATATATACTAAAAGGAAAATTTATAAACTATTTTATTATATTTTTAATTTATTAGACAATATATTAATAAATATTTAATACATAGTCTATGATAAATCATTTGCTATTTTTAAATAAAGATATTGTAATACTGTAATTGTAAACATAAAATATTGTATAAAATAGATTAAAATCGTGTTATAAAAATTTATGAAAATATAATGATAAAATAAATTATTGTATACAAAACGTGATCAATAAAATTGTTAATATTTTGTTTTTGTTGTATTGTTTTGCTTCAAATTATAATATAACAAACAACAAAAAAATAACATAAAATAATTTTTTTTATAAAATATCTACTATTTTACATTATTACAAATTTTTATTGAATTATTAAATTATTAAATTAATAATCATCATAATTTCAACTGATTAAAAATATACAATATATTGTTAGTAAATATTAACTAAATATAATATGATTAAAAAAAATAAAATAAAAAATATTTTTTAAAACTATAATTTTAATATATAAAGCAAACAATATAATTATAACTAATATTAAAAAATTAATTATTATTACAACTAATTTTATCCCCAAACAAACAAAACTAAATACAAATATTAATAATTCAAAAAAATATATGATAATTAAATTATCAAAAAAATAAACATTTTTTAATTATAATTAATTTTTAGAAAAAACACAAACAAATTTTTGAAAAAATAAATAAAATAAATTATAACTATAATTACTGTATAATAAGAAATCAATGAACACATCAATTATGACTTAAATCAAAAAAAAATAATTAATTATTATTATTACAATTAATTTTAACCCCACCCATCCCCACCCCAAAAAAACAAACAAACAATTCAAAACTAAATTCAAAATAAAATATACTAAATTAAATTACCAAAAAAAAAATAGATAGATATTTTTTATTACCAATTAATTTTAACAAAAAAAAACAAAACAACTTATTATTTTAGGCCAAACCTGTCAAACCCGATGGCAGTCAGTGTCCAAACCGATACAAACACCGACAACAACTGTACAAACTGGACAATCGGACAGAGAAACGTCGGAAATATCCAACGGCCTAACATAAAGCCTGTATAGGTAAACGGTATGCTAAATGTGGCCATTGTTATGTCGGCTGCCGATAGATTGACCAGGAATTTCCATAATTCCGATGATAGCCGATCACCTTTGACCAGTACGAGTATGGTTACCACATTGAAGCTCAGGGATATCAGGGCAGTAGTTGAATAGAGACCAATGAGTAGTACCTGATAGGGCCAGAAACTTAGGGCTTCAAGTGCCGGTATGTTTGATGAACTTAAGGATATATTATTGCCGACATACCAGAGCGGATCCATATATAATATATATATATATATAATATATATTTAGTATATTAATAGACAATAGTTATTATTAGTATAGGTGTCACACAATTAATAGATTATTGATATATTATTATTAATAATAATATGATAATATAATAATTTATTTTTAATATTATATAATATAATATTATATTCACTTTAATTTATATACTCTACATATATATACTGTATATAATTTTTTTTATTTTACTATAATTTCACATTTATATTATTTTTTAATCTTATTATAGGTTTTAATCGTATTTATTATTTTAATTTTTTTGTTTATAAAGAAAAATCACATAAACATAATAATACACTAATGTTTATTATTAATACAGTATATTTTTTAGTTATATTTTTAAAAATTAGTTAAATGACAATTAAATAAATTTGTGTTTTTTAAATAAATATTTTATTAATTTGTTAATTAAAAACTTGTTGATTATAATTTTATTATAATCAAATTTTTAAAGTTAAAATTATTATTATTATTATCCGTTTGTATAACTTTATTGTTATTATTATTATTGAAATAATTATTATAATAATATTTATTATAGGAATATCTTTATTAATCTTTAAAACATTTAATAAATATTTAAACATTTTACTGTATTATAATAAATAAATAAAACTAATTTTATATATACTGTAATTATTTATATCGTTAGTTTAATAAAATTAATAAAAAAACGAAAAATTATATCATTATTTATTTAATTATCATATAATATATAGTATTTAACTGATTATATTTTAAGACAAGATTTTGATTTTGAAAATATTTATTTAAAAAAAAATAAAATATAATAATAATAATAATACTAATAATTTCAGTTAATAACTATTATTATTATTATTAATCTTCAAATATGTTTACGCATATCTAAACACTGGGTTTTTTAACACACACACATTAAACACACAACTATTATATAACTTTCCCACACTATTGTATATAACCTACCGATTCCTACTATAGTACTGTACTGTACTGTACTTTACTATATGACTGTATGGTATGGTATGGTATGGTATGGTATGGTATGGTATAGTCAAGTGATATATAAAGTGCTGCTGTTTTATATATAATATGAAATACTTTATTATATATGATATAATATAAAAATATATATATAATTTGTATATCACTTACATTGACAGCGACGGTGCAAATCATATCCCAAAAAATACTAATCATATTATTAGTATTTAAATTGTCATTAAATATTTGACAGAAATTTTTTTTTTCACTAAAAATTTATAATTAAATTATAAATACAGTATATTATAAACTTTAACATTTAAACCTTTTTTTGTGTGTAATTTATCGATCAAAATATTTATTTTTAAAAAAAAAATCATTTAATTTTAACACTATTTAAGTGTAGGGGAAAAAACTATAATAATCCCTAAAATTTTTTTTTCAATTCAATTTTGTTACAAAAATAAATAATTAAAATAAAATAAATAATATCAATAATAAAATATTTTTTTACAAATAAATGATTTATTATTTAATAAAAACATTTGTCTTACAATTATATATATATATATATATATATATATATATAACAAATTGATTTTTAAATGAAATCAAACTAAATTAATAAAATAAAAAATATATATATTTTATTTAAACAAATAAAACATAAAATACTAATTAAAATTTGCATAATTATTGTCAAATAAAAATTTAAATAAGTAAACAAAAAATAAATTATAATGTAATTGTATTAATTGAATTATTTTATAAATAAATTATTTTTAAAAAAATTAAATTATTTAAATAAACAAAATTTAAAAAAATAAATTTAATGACAATTTGTTTTAATAATAATAATGATGTACAATATTTAGTTTAGCTTAAAAAATGATAATTAATTAATTCTGATATAAAAAATAATAATAATTTTTGATTACTAAGCATTAAATTAATAATAATAAATACAACAAAAAATAAAATAAAAAGCAAAATTTTATTAAATATATAAAATAATATTTTTTTAAAAAAAAACTTTTATTATAAAAAAATTAATACAACATTAATATATATACAGTATATAAATAATTTTATTTAATCAAAAAAATTCAATAAAATTAAAACTGTATTATAAATTATTATTATTTTGTTAATAAAATATATTTATTTATTTAATTTTGTTATTAAAAAAAATTATAATAATTAATTTAATAATTAAATTAATTAATACAACAACAAATTAGTTAAACTAATTAAAACTTATTTTTATTTAAAAAAAACAGTATATTTTTAAAATTACAGTAAAAATTGTATACAATTTACGTAATTTATTGTATTATATATATATTGTTTGTGTTACTGAATTCAATACACAAACAATGAGAATACAGTATTAATAAATGAATCAATGAATCAATTGGTTGTAAACATTGTTAGAGAGAAAACACATTAAAAAGTAAATAACAAAACAAAACACTAAAACACTAAACAGTTTCCAATGTTTTTTCAATCAATACTATAATAATAGTAATCATTATTTTAAGTATCGATCGGTAATATATTAGTGACCAGATATCGGCAGGAGTTGAGACCCGACTAAAATAAATTTTTTTCAATTTACAGCTGACCAATAAAATTATAACACCAATTGGTGACCACACAACGATATCGCGGTATATATAGAGAGAGGTTATCGTTGCCGCACCCGAGGACAGGGATTGACAGTTACCGCCAAATACGTGCCCGACGGACATATACGCGTATATATATATATATAACACACACAAGTGGACGCGTCCACCGAAAGTCGTAAACAAAAGTGTGGCCATCACTACCACAGCTGCGAGAGGACTATAGGACAGTTGATTGACAGTTGACGTGCCGATTGCGTGACCGCTACATACGTGCCCGACGGACATATATAACATACATAAACAAGTGGACGACCACCGATAGTAGTAACCAAAAGTGGCCACCACTATAGCCGCGGTAGGACTAGGAGGTGGAGGCCGTAACCGTTGTTGCCGATCATCATCGATGCCGGAAACTGGCGGTTACGAACCGAAACGGTTTATCGGTCTCGAAGACTGGTTGGCCAAAGAACTGGAATGTTCCATATGTTTGCATATCTTTCGCCAGGCAGTGGACACCCAATGCGGTCATACATTTTGTCGGCTATGCATACAGCGTATAGTTGTCAGCAACAAACTAATATGTCCGCAGTGTCGGTGCGAAACCCATAAGAAACGCCAGCGATCGGCAATTACCGACAGTCCGACATCGTCGACAACATCGGCGTCGGCGTTGGCCAACAAAGTCGATCCGTTTCTGAAGTCCAATCGTCGCGTGGACAGCATTATCGGTCGGTTGAGGACCAACTGCGACTACGAGGACAAGGGCTGCGAAGAGGTACTGGAGCTGAACCTATTGGACTCGCATCTGGAAAAGTGTAACTATAATCTGTGCGACAATTGTGGCCTAAAAGTCGGTAAACGATTGGAACATAACTGTCTGGATCTGATGAAATCGGAACGAAAACGGTTTATGAATACAATTATTAACTATAAGTTTCGGTTGAATAATGTTAACAAAAAGCTGCGGACATTGGAACAGAAGAATAGGGAACTGGAGTCAGAGTTACGCCGATTTAAGGGTGGTATGGATTGTAAGGGTTCGGCAGCCACTGCCGCCACCAACGGAAGCTGCACGGGTAGGTTGAGTGTGGACAGAGAGAGAGGAGTACCGATCGGTTACCGACTAAATCCAAACTATTGAATGACAATGAAGTAGTAGTAGTAGTAGTAGTGTTAGTGATTGATAGCTACCAGTGTTTTAAGTAAACTATTGATTAGTTATCAGTAATTATTAGTAATTAATACCCGATATGTGACCCGAGTATATATATATGTGACATCAAATAGTTATACACTTAATGTTATTATTATTTATAGTATTTTATTATTTTTTTTTTTTTGAACAATTAGTATAATATCTAAATCTAAAATATTGTTTCGTTAAATTTGATTAATAATTTTTTTAGTGTTATTTTTTTTGTAATCAAATTATCAATTAATTATTTTTTGATTGTTTTCGGTAGCCGGTATTTCCTGGTCACCACCAACACCAACAACAACAACCACATTATCATCGTTGGCCAACTCAGCACACGTGCTGGCGGCGGCTGCGGCGTCGGCGACCACCAAAACCGGTAAAACCCGTGCACTGTACAAGATATTCAATCTGTTCGACGAATCGGACAACCGAATTGGCGTCTATCGTATGAAATCTCGGGAAACGTTTGGCGAACTAATCAAATTTGTGGCCAATCAGTTCAATACCGACGACAAACATCTCAGTCTGACACTCAACTACAATGAACTGATCTCACGTAACGATACCATACCGATGCTCAACGTGCCGTCCAATAAGCGCACGTTGAGAGCTGTCTACAGGGCTGACCGCAAGTCGATTAATATTGATATTTAAAATCATGATTATTATTATTGATTTGATTGATTTTTTAGTATAATTTATTATTATTAATAATAATTTAAACAACAAAAAAAATAACATGTATATGAGATGTGATATTATTATTATTATTATTATTATATCCGAGTATATTAATGGTTTAGTTATTTTTAATTTAGTTTTTTTTTGGTCACCTTATTAATCCTATTATTATTATTATTTCTACTATTAATTGTTATTACAATTATTATTATGAGTATTATGACTATTACCATAATTTAAATTGTAATTATAATTGTTGCGATATTATAATTGTTATGACATATTGTTTGTTTGTTTGTTTTTAAAAAAAAATTATTATTGTATAATAAATTAATATATAATATCGTAATTTTAATATAAGTATAAGATATAGTGAGATATATATATAGTCATTGAATGTTTAATTATTATTATTATTATTATTGGTTCAATTAATTTATATATATTTTTTTGATGATTATTATCTATACAGTTATAATATTTGAATTACCGGTACTTTTATGATTTTTTTTGTGCCTAATAATTAATGTAATTTTTATTAATTTTGACTTATTTTTTCAATTTAATTTATTAATGATATATAATCTTACCGTAATTTTTTTTTTATTATATATATTTTTTGTTTAGCAAAAATAATTATGTATTTAAACAAACAAATTGATTTTTTAAAATAATTTAAATAATCATAAATTATATTTAAAAATTTTTTTTTAACTATCAATAAAAAACAATTTTTATGTTTATTCTCTCTCTCTCTCTATAAAAACGAAACATTAATATATAATATATATATAAAGTATTTTTTGTTTTGTTTTTATTTATTCACCAAAAAAAAATAAAATAAAACATTTAATTTGTTGTAATTACTATTACTAAAAATTAATAATAATTAAAAAAAATATTTGTTTAATAATTTTTTGTCAAATTATAATTTTTTATTTTTCCGGTTTATGCTCTAATAAACTGATATTATCGGGTATTGGTTTTAAATAACCGGATAAATAAAACTCTTGAAATTTGGGATCAGATTCAGCGCGAAATAGTCCACTAAATATTTTTTTTATAGATAAAAAAATTATTTAAAAAAACAATTTAATTAGTATTTAATTTATTTATATTTAGTCTATACTTACAGAACGGCCGCTTCAAATGTAGTTATGAAAGCACCTGTAGTTACAAATAAATTAATTAACAAAAAAATCAATTTTAAGTTATTTTATTCAAAAATAAAATATCTATTTCTATCTATATATAGTATAATAATATTATTGTTTATAATTACCCGATTGTCGCATACGTTTGATAGCGTACTTGCGATCGGTCATTGTCGGCGAACTGACCGCATTGACCACCACATGGACAGTATAGCCGTGTTTGATGGCTGTCAGGACAGTCGACTGTACACAACAGTGAGCCATAACACCGCATACTATGAGTGTGTCGACCGACGGGTGTTTAGCTTTCATGGATTTCAATACATCCGGTAATAGCATTGAAAACTGTGTTTTCGATACATAATTAATATTTGTATAACTATTGAGCGATAACTCCGATGCCGATGAACCCCAACCTTTCAAAAATATATTTTAATAATTAAATTATTATAAAAAAAAATAATTAAATAATAATCAATAATACCTTTTTGTTCGCTAACATAAATTGGTAACTATTAATAAAATATTTAATTATAATTATTATAATTATATTGTATTATGAAAACAATTTTTTTTTTAAATTTTATATTAATTTTTTTTTTGTTTGAAATATTTACATCCAATATATGGGCCGCACGGACAAGCCGTCGGGAAATTTCAATTATATGACTCCAGTATTGAATCATTGGCCCGAACTTGTCCTGCAAGTCGACGACCAATAGGGCTGTCCGCTTAGTGTCCAATTCACCGACAGTTTTGTTGCCGTCATCATTGCCACAGCAACTCATAATTGCTACTAAATTTTTTTTAAACAAATAAAATACACTTTAATATTAAATTTGAAATTAATTTAAATGAAATTATTATAAAAAAAATAACTTTTAATTAATTGCACAAATGGTTGCTTAAAAATATAAATATAATTAATATTTCAATAAATTTTTTAATTGTATATTTAGTATAAGTAAATATAATATAATAATATTTCAATTTCAATAGTTTTAAATATATATATTTAATTTTATTTATTAACTTAAGATAACTAACTATACTGTATATTGAATGATAAATTATATAATTTTTTATTATATAAACAACTTTTCTAAAAACTTGTTTTTATTTAATATAAAATTACTATAATTATTATTAGTATATAATATAAAGTAATTGATTGATGAATTTATTAATTTATGAAATAAAATATTTAAATAAAACTTTTTATATATATTAAAAAAATAACTTTCAAGTACAGGCAATATTATAATCATTAAATAAAAAAAATAAAAAACAAAAAGTTTATCATTAAATTGATTTGATATAATTGATAAAAATATTTATGCAACTGTTATATTGAATAAATGAATTTATTGTATTAAACTTATTTTTTTTATCAACATTTATATTAAATTTTAGGATAATGTAAAAAAACAAATTATTTTTATATATATATATTTGTTAATAACCAAAATAATTAATACATTGTTATTGATTAGCCATTAGTTTATAGACAAACAAACAAAAAATTATAGATTCAGATATTTATTATTATTATTCATTTAATTATTTATTTTAGTTAAAAAATAATTAATAAATTTTTTAAAAAATGATAATTATTTTTCCGGTTTATTGGACAACAATCCCGAACAGTCGCTAACAAGTGTTTCGTAAGGTTCGGTATAAATGTCGTAAAATTTCGGATTAGTTTCGTCACGAAGTAGACCACTGTTTCAATAGAGAGAGAGAGAAAGAGAGAGAGAGAGAGAGAGAGAGAGAGAGAGAGAGAGAGAGAGATAATTCAATTGAAAAAAAACATAATTTTTAAAAAATATTTTTAATTAAATAAAAATATAAACTTACAGTATAACCGCTTCACATGTGGTTATAAAAGCACCTAGGTATGTATATTTTTTAAAAATAAATTAAACACAAAATTATTAATACAATAATTATATAAATATATACATATATATATATATATATTAAATATGTATATATATATTAAATAATTTAAATATTTCTATTATATATATACTAATTATCAAAAATTATTTCTTAATTAATTAAATTAATTACCCGATTGTCGCATACGATCGATAGCGTACTGGCGATCGGTCATTGTCGGCGAACTGACTGCATTGCCGACCAAATGGACAGTATAGCCATGTTTTAGGCCCGTCAGGACAGTCGACTGTACACAACAGTGTGTCATAACACCGCATACTATGAGTGTGTCGACCGACGGGTGTCTAGTTTTCAGTGATTCCAATACATCCGGTAATAGCATTGAAAACTGTGTTTTCGGTACATAATTAATATTTGTGTAACTATTAAGTGATAACTCCGGTGCCGATGAACCCCAACCTATATTATAGTTAAAAATTATAATTTTTATTAATTTTTTTTAAATAAATATATAATATATTAATTAATCCAAAAAAAATAATAATTAGATTTTAATTTAACTAAATAATCAATAATACCTTTTTGTTCGCTAACATATATAGGTAACTATATTAAACAAAACAAAAAATTAATAATAAATCTTAAAATTCATAATTTTTATATAATTTTAAAAATAAAATATTTCATATCTATCTATAATATAACAAAAAAATAGTATAATTGAAAAATCAATTTTTATTTTTCAAAAAAATAATTATACATTCAATATGTTTGCCGCACGTATCAGCTGTCGGGCGGCTTTAATCACTTGTGGCCAGTACTGCATCATTGGCCCGAACTTGACCTGCAGATCGACCACCAATAGGGCTGTCCTCTGACTGTCCAATTCGCCGACATTTTTTTGTTTATCACAACAACTCATTATAGTTTATATCGATATACAGTATAATAATATATTGAATTATAATATTACTTATTTTTTTCAATCACAGTTTATAAAGTATTTTTAGATAAATTAAATTAATATAAAGAATTTATTATTATTATTAAAACATAAATTACAGTATAATAATAAATTTTATTTGTTTTTACAAAATATTATTTAATAGCTAAGTTGAACTATAACTTATATAGCTTGTGTGTGCATCTATGTATGTGTTTGTATGTGTTTGTATGTGTGTATGTATGTGTGAGTGTATGTGTGTATGTATATGTGTATGTATGTGTGTATATATGTGTGTATGTATATGTGTATGTATGTGTGTATGTATGTGTGTATGTATGTGTGTGTATATGTGTGTGTCTGTATGTGTATGTGTGTGTGTGTGTGTGTCTGTATGTGTGTGTGTATGTATGTATGTATGTATGTATGTATGTATGTATGTATGTATGTATGTATGTATGTATGTATGTGTGTATGTATGTGTGTATGTATGTGTGTATGTATGTGTGTATGTATGTGTGTATGTATGTGTGTATGTATGTGTGTGTATATGTGTGTGTCTGTATGTGTATGTATGTGTGTGTATATGTGTGTGTCTGTATGTGTATGTGTGTGTATATGTGTGTGTCTGTATGTGTATGTGTGTGTGTATGTGTGTGTGTCTGTATGTGTGTGTATATGTGTGTGTCTGTATGTGTATGTGTGTGTGTCTGTATGTGTGTATGTGTGTGTATGTATGTATTAATGTATTTTTTAAAACTTGTATAGACTAGGATTATATAAACATTTATACCACACACACACGCACACAGAAATTGCAGATTATTTTGTTTGACAGTCTCACTGGTGTTTAACTGTAGATTATTTGGCAAATTAAATATTTTATTTGTAATATGGTTTTTATTTAAAAAAAAAACCCTAATTAAACAATATTTCTTTATTATATTAATGAATATCATATATATTATATTCTGTATTATATATTATAAAAGCATGGTTTGTTTGATATGTCAATAAAACTAAATTTATATAAAAAAAATTTGATTATTGAATATTGATAAAGTATTAGATTATTTATAATTTTTATATATAATAAAAATTTTAAATAATAATTAATTACTTTATAGTATAATAAATATAATCTTAGTAATAAGACATTGATGAATTTGATAAAATTAATATTTATATATACATATAGAACGTTATTATATTTCTAATCAAGTTAACTAGTTTATTTTTCTAGTTTAATTAAATTAATTAATATTTTTAGTAATTATAAATTAAATTTTTCTATTATTAATTAAATTTTTTTTTAATTTATTTAATATAATTAAATTAATTTTAATTTATTTAGTTTATTAAAAAAACAATTCTTTTTTTCGGGTTTATGCGATAAAAGTCCCGAATCGGCGACAAATGTTTTGTAACCGGTTTTATAAAACTCCTGATATTTGGGATTAGTTTTATCACGAATTAGACCACTATTTATAGATTAAAAAATATATTAATATATATATATAGTATATATTTATCATAGAAATGTTTAATAGTTAATAAACTTACTAAATGGCTGATTCACGTGTGGTTATGAAAGCATCTGAATGTTAATTAGAGTATATTAATAATAAAAATTTTAATTTCAATCAAATAATAGTACTAATAATAATAAATATTTCTATTTATATTAATTATCAAATTATTTATTAATTAATTAATTAATTACCCGATTGTCGCATACGTTTGATAGCGTACTTGCGATCGGTCATTGTCGGCGAACTGAGACCGCATCGGCCACCACATGGACAGTGTAGTCGTGTTCAAGTCCAGTGAGGACAGTCTCCTGGACACACAACGTGTGCCATAACACCGCATACCCTATGAGTTTGTCGACCGACCGGGTGTTTAGCTTTCATTGGATTTCAATACATCCGGTAATAGCATTGAAAACTGTATGTGTTTTCGGTACATAATTAATATTTTTGGTGTAACTATTGAGCGATAACTCCGGTGCCGACGGTTATCAACCTTTAAAAAAAAAATTATTAGATAATAATAATAATAATATTAATTAAAAATTTTATTATAACTAATAAAAACTTTATTATCAATTTATTTATTACCCCTATTGATTACTCGCTTACATATATAGATAACTAATTTAAAAATTAGTAATAATTATTTTTTTTTTTAAAAAAAAGTTTAAAAAGTTATTTAAAATACAATTAATTATATAAAATTTTATTTGAATGAATACATTGAATATATTGGTCGCACGTATCCGTATGTCCGGCGGTTTCAATCACTTTACGGCCAGTTTCTGAATCAATGGTCCAAACTTACTGACTGCATATCGACCACCCAATAGCCCTGTCCTCGTCTCTATCATTGCCTCTGATTTTTCTAATATATAGAAAAATTATAACCTCCGAAAGTCTGGAGAGGGGAAGGGGGGGTAAAATCCCAATTTCTCGATCATAGGGGGTATTTTGATCTTACCCCTACCCCCTTACTTAACGCTGATATATATATATAGATAATTTTACTTTAATTGATGTTATAAACATTATGATTTTTGTTGTTGTTGTTGAATTGCCATTAAATTATTTTAAATTGTTTTATATCAATATAATTTATTTGCCGTAAATTTATTAACTAAAAGTATTTATTTATTTTTATTTTATTTTTTAAATTGACAAGTAATCAAGGTTGCTACCACTATTAACCTTTACCATTACCACGACCAATACCACCATTACTGGCACCACCCTTATTATTATTATTACGTATACTAGAAAAATCTCGACGATCACCACCACTATCATAGGCAGCACTACGACCAGCACCACCACCGCGACCACCGCCGCCATCGTAAGCACTACTATCACTACGACTACCACCACCACCACCACTGCTGGCACCAGCATTCCTAAGTAGACCAGCAGTATCTCGACGATCATCATTACCACTACCACCACTACCACGACCACCGGCAGCTAATATAATAATATATATATATATATATATTTGATTAATAATACTATAAATAAATAAAATTTTCAGGTTTTTTTTTTGTTGGTTTAGTTAACAAGTTACTATTAATTAATTAATTAAAATAAATAAATAATAATAAACGTCATCTTTAATAATATAACGTACTAAAAAAAAGTATACTAAAATTTAGTATTATTTAGCATATATATATTTATATATATCATATATATATAAATATATATCAAATATATATTAATAAATACCGTCAATCATATTGTTTGCCAATAACTGTATGATAACAACAACAACAACAACAAGTCGATAGTTTTGTTGCATTTTATTAATAATTATTTGGGTTTTTTTAAAAAAAATATAATATAAAAAACTTAAATCAATTAATAGACTCTTTAAATAAAAAAAGACCCTTTGTAGACATTTAATAAAAAATAATTATTAGTATTATATGTTAAAATATCTTAATTATATATATATATATATATATATTAAAAGTTGGTGCATCAATATTAAAAACATTTAGGTATTTAATTAATAATTTAATTTTATAATTAATGTTATATAATATGTACTAAACTGTTTTATTAAGTAAATTATATATATATATTATAAAAGAGTTTTATTTAAGAAGTAATTTTTATAACTTTTATAAAGAGTATTATAATTAGTTTATATTAGATATTGATATATAATTTTTTAAAGCATATTTTTTACATATTTTTTTTTAAATAATTATAAAATTAACTAGATAATAATAGATAATAGTAGTCATACCAATAATACCAAACAATCCATAGATAGCCAGTAATACCGTTCCCACACAAAAAATCACTAATCACTGTATGATAACAGTCATCGCCATCACCAATGTTTAGTTGGCCACTGCTAGTATCGGCTGCGACGGTAGCGGTGACCGGTAGCGGACACTACCAACTGTCCGATTGTCGGTCCGATCCTCGATCCAATACAACCACTTTCGCATACATTCCCATATATGGTTAGGTTAGGTCAATCTGTCAAAACCATAAATTCGATAGACAATGGTTTTAATTTCATAAAAAATCAATAATTTTATTTTATTTTTAGTTATTTTTGTTGGTTTACAACATACAGTACAGTCACACTGAAAATAATAGATATAATGATTAGCGACGGCAACGGCCAGCCATCCATCCATTTGGCTGACCAGTCGTCGTCCTCGTCGTTCATGAACTGGCGGCCAAACCCGACAACTATATAACAACAATGTTTGCCAAATATCAGAAATTATATTATAAATAGGATTTGATTTTTTTTAGATAATTAATATAATTTTATAAACAAATTATTATTATTATTATTATTATTATTACGTATACTTAGGGTTAGATTGAGATTCCCAGGGAGGGAAGTTCCCAGATAAAATCCCTCCAATTTTCCCGGAAAATATGGAAAATATATTATATTCCCTCCCTTGATCGTTAGAAAGGGAAAATATAATTTGTCATACATTAAAAAGTACCTAATCTCAATGACTATGTGTTTCAATTGGGACCATTATGTTAGTAATAACTCAATCAAAATATGATTCTAATAATATTAAACATTTAGTAAAAACATTAAATACATTTTGTAGACATTTACTATACAAACATGTTTTTAATAAAACATTATGTAATGTGAGTTAGGGTACGATAGGTGGTACCACAAGGAAATGTCTTCCCAGGGAATTCCCAGGGAACAGGGAATATAAGGAACTTATGGAATATAAGACGAGGGAGGGAATCTAATCTAACCCTACGTATACTATAAAAATCTCGACGATCGCCACTAACCATATATGGGAATGTATGCGAAAGTGGTTGTATTGGATCGAGGATCGGACCGACAATCGGACAGTTGGTAGTGTCCGCTACCGGTCACCGCTACCGTCGCAGCCGATACTAGCAGTGGCCAACTAAACATTGGTGATGGCGATGACTGTTATCATCCAGTGATTAATGATGTTTTGTGTGGTAACGGTATTACTGGCTATCTATGGATTGTTTGGTATATTATAATTGATTTTATTGTTTATATATATATATATATATATATAGCTATCATTACTACTGCTACTACTTTAAAATTTTAATTAAATTTACATATTAAAATTTAATATTAAAAAAATCAATTTACAAATAATATTTAATTGATAACAATTTCAAGCAAATTATTATATATAAATATTTTTTTTAAAAAAAACTTAATTTTTACTTTTGAAAATATTTCAGAAAAATTAAACATAATTATGAAATTATAAAATTGATTAATTATATTATATAAAAACTAATAATAATTGACACCAATTTCATAACAAACTGCCTTGTTAGATTATTAAAATTTTATTACAAATTAATTATAGAGTTTTGTTTTTTTATTAAAAAAATATTTTTGATTTTTTTTTTAGTTCAAACATTGACCAGTAGTTCTGGTAATCTCTTTACAGGTTAGGTCACCACAACATTGTTTAATATACGATGGATTACACGGTTTGTTAACTTCAATACATTTACCGCTACCAGAAAAAGCTACACTACCGGCAACCTTACCACCAGTACCTCCACTACGAGCAGCGGCGGCACCTTTACTGCCAAACGAACCGTAATCACGACGACCACCACTACTGGCACTATCACTACCACTACGACCAGCACCGGCAGCTAATATAAATAATATATTTCAAGAATAGTATATATATATATATATATAATTTTTTTTTTTGAAAATACTAATATATTTAATTACAAACCGTCAATCATATTGTTTGATAATAAATGTAAAATAATAATAATAACAACAATAGTTACAAACGTTAATAATGTAGAAATTATTTGATTGTTTTGTTGCATTTTATTAATATATATAATTAACTTTATTTTTAAAATAATTATCAATAAACATAAATCAATGGATTGACTGTTTTAATAATAAACTTAAACAATGTGTGTTTAATAAATTATTATTAATAATAATAATATAACACTTATATTTTATTTTTAATAATTAATGTGCATCCATATTTTACAAAAACTGTATTAAATATTAAAAACATTTAGGTTGTTAAGTATTAACAAAATTAATTAATAATTTTATTTTTATTTTTATAACTTTACAATATTATATAACGTGTACTTAAATGAGTTATTTATTTAATTAAATAATAATTTAATTAAATAAAAGAGTTAATTTATGTAAAATATATTAATAATTAAAAAAAATTATTAAGCTTTGATTTGATTTGTTTTAATAAACAGTATTATATATATATATTTCAATTAAAATTTAATTTTTAATTGATATACGTACTGTATAGTAATTGTACCATGTTAATTTTGTTTATAAAATAGATATTAATTATCTAAAAAAATCAAATCCTATTTATAATATTTATAATATTTATAATATAATTCCTGATAATTGGCAAACATTGTTGTAAAAATAGTTGTGGGGTTCGGCCACCACTGGTCAGCCAAATGGATGGATGGCTGGCCGTTGCCGTCGCTAATCATTATATCTATTATTTTTTGTGTGACTGTACTGTATGTTGTAAACCAACAAAAATAACTTAAATAAATAAAATAACTTTATTATTATGAAATAAAAACCATTGTTTAGCGAAATCTATATAAGCATTGATAAAAAATTATTTTTTAAAAAATAATAATTATAATATCAACAAAAAAATTGTTAAATTTTATTTTTATTTTATTGTCAGATAATATATGGTTTGACAGATTAGTTAGTGCCGGACACACGAAAACACTGCACATTCAATGCCCGGCATTGTCCGGTAGATTATGCCTGTGATGGCAACCATAGATGGGAATGTGTGTGAGTGTGTGTGTGTGAAAGTGGTGATATCGGATCCATAGGAAGACCCCCCATGTTTGAGTTAGTTTTTAAGGCACGGTAGGGTTTTATCTGTAAATCTCAGACAATACAAGAAACTATTGGTTAAAAATTAAAATGAATATTTTTAATGTGTCTATGGATTTATATATATTTAAAATTATTTGTATATTTATGTAATAATATGTGATTGAATGAGAGTTTATAGAGCATAGGGAGGTGACTATATAACTGTATATATATATATATATATATATATATATCAGTGCCAAAGTTCAGTCAAATATACATAACATGTATATATTTTATGTACAGAATCTCTGCGAAACAATTTGTGTGAATCCATATAGACGTCTATCGACCCGACTATCTATACAATACTGTATGTCAATCAGTGACTATATATATATATATATGCTAAATGATATTACTATATTTTAGTATATCATATTTTTTAGTATTTTATATTATTAAAAAAATGGCATTTATTATTTATTTATTAATGAATGAATTAATATTAGTAATTTGTTAACTAAACTTTAAAAAAAACTGAAAATTTTATTTATTATTATTCAAATATATATATATATATATATTAATAATATTATATATATATATATATTATTGTATTAGTTACCGGTGATGATCGTCGCGATACTTCAAGTCTACGTAAAAATGGTGGTACCAGTGCTAGTCGTAAATCTTTTGATAGCGGGGGTAGTATTAGTGCTGGTAGTAGTAGTGCTAGTTATGATGGCAGTGGTAATCGTCGTGATTTTTCGCAGTATTGGTGCCGGTATTGGTGGTGCCGGTAGTGGTGATGGTGGTGGTGGTGGTGGTAAAGGTTAAGTGGTCGGTTGGTCGTAGGAGGGTTACCCCCTGGACTCAAGCCAAAAAAGTCCCCTACTAATTTTCGGCGCCGATGGCTAAAATTTTAAAAATTATCAATAAAAACTCTAGTCAATCTAATTAGTTATTGTTTTTTTTATCTTTAACTTCTATTCAAATTGTAATATGATTATAAATATGTAATTTTTAGTTAAATATTTTAATTAAAAATAATGTTATTTTTGATGATTTTTAACGTAATGATAACTAATTATCTATTTATTTTTTTTAATCAATAATTAGATTGATATAAATTCTAAAAAAACATAATAATAATTACGTAAAATAGTATCAATTAAAATTAAAATTTTTATAAATTTAAAAAAAATGTCGGCGTAATTAACGCCGAAATTTTAGGGAAACGTATTTTTTTTGTTTTTAAGCGACAATTTTCTTAAAAAGTCTGGAGAGGGTGATCAAATCCGAAAATCTTGATTTTATGTAGGGTCATTTGGTTTGACAACCCTCCCCCCACTCTACCAATCACTTGCTTTACCCTGATATAAATATATCAATATATGGTTCAGTAATATTGTAGTAGTTATTACTGTGAGTGAGAGTCTTAAACAGCGGCGCCGACGACGACGACGACGATAGCGGCGATGCTTTTAATTTCAATTATCTGGTCAAACAATACGTTGGATTTAAAAGTGACCAATGGTGGCAATGTTGTAGATAATTTTAAACAAAAATAAGATTGTAATTGGTAATTTTTTTAATTAATTGCATTATTTAAAATATAATATACAGTCGAAACTGTTAAAAAAATTGTAAAAATGATAGTCGACTGCAATTATCTGGCCAATCATGCAATTATTTAAAAAAAAAAAATTACCAATTACAATATTATTTAGTTCAAAAATTATTTACAACATTGCCACCTTGGTCATTTTTAAATCGAAAATATTGTTGACCAGATAATTGAAATTAAAAGCATCGTCGCTGTCGTCGTCGGCGCCGCTGTTTAAGACTCACTCAGTAATAGTAGTTATATAAACAATAGAATCAATTATAATATACCAAACAATCCATAGATAGCCAGTAATACCGTTACCACACAAACATCACTAATCACTGGATGATAACAGTCATCGCCATCACCAGTGTTTAGTTGGCCACTGCTAGTATCGGCGGCGGCAGTGGTGGCAGCGGACACTACCATCAGATCCTTGCCGGCCGTAACCGTAGCAAAACTGGGACCTTCGACCGATACTTCGCACATATAGTGGCCACTGGTTTGCGGCTGTATTGACTCGAGTACTACCGACTTCGGGCCACTTTGATACAAGTTTACCGAAATACCGGGTGTCGGAAATAACTTAATCGATGGCCGATCGCGGGGCAGATATCGGAAAAATTCGTGTCCACTACTTCCGTACCATTTGACTGAATACAGTTGTTCATTGGTGGCCAACTCGTACTGACAGTTTAGCTGAACTGATTGGTTCACACGTGCAGGCGATGGTACGTCCATACGGGTTATGGTCAACCCGTGCACCACTACTACTACTGTTGGACCCGCAATGACCGCCAACAGTATTGTTGAGGTCAATAGGTGTTGTATGGATACCGTTCCCACAAAAAAAACATCATCAATAACCAATGATTAGTTGGCCACCGCTAGTATCGGCGGCGGCGACGATAGCGGTGGCGGACACTACCATCGGATATTTGACGGCCGTAACCGTAGCAAAACTGTGACCTTCGGGACCAATAATTTGGCACAGATTGGTTTACAAATAATCATAATTATATTAAATGTTATATTAAATGTTTATAACTTTAATAACTAATTAATTTTAATTTAACTAAATTAATTTTTTTAATAAATATATTCACAAATTTTTTTCACTTATTAAATTAATATTATATTTTTAAAAAAATATTTCCATAAAAGTATATGATATCATCAATTTTGATTAAAACTATTTTTATATATCATAACCAGGGTTTTAAGGAAATAAATGCCTGTCCTGGCAATGCCCAAATAGATGCCATGAATGCATTCATTTTGGGCATCTATTTTATTTGCCTGCCAATTTAAATTGCTAAAAAACAACTGTATTTATAAAAATAATGTAATTTAGTGTTTTAACGTGTTAATTAAATTTACAATTAATTTACTTATTTCCAATGATATTACGTTTTTATTTAAAGGTATACAAAACAAAAATACAAGCAAATATATTATAAAAACAATGTTTTATAAATTAATTAATAATCTAAAATTAAAATAATAGGTGTCACCACCTGAAAATAGATGCCCAGGGCATGGCAGAGACAGGGCAGGCATTTGGCAAAATTGGCATCTATTGTTTATGCCTGCCATTTTTAAAACCCTGATCATAACATATATATATATATATATAGATATTAAGTTTATAATTTGATAATGTGTTACGTTGACAGCTTGTACTATATGCTGATGATTATGATGACCAGTGGCCACTATTATGGCCAATAATAGTGCAATCATTAGTAAAATATTTTAACACTTTTTTTTGGGGGTACTATTATTAAACAAACAAATTGTTTAACAACATGTTTATTATGGCCGGTTTAACCAGCTTTCGGCATATTCTCTATAGAATTTAGACAACAATTTTTTATGCCATTCAGTTGGCATACAGTTCCTCATTTGGCAGCCAATTGGTACATACATTCTAACTAAACTGACTGATCCATTGGTGTAGTCAATGATAGGCTAATCGATGTATGAATATGTAGTGACAAACAATAATTTGTGTCCAATTATTTGTGTGTCCCAATAGATTTGGACGAAAAAAAAGACCATCAATTGTTTTGTTGTGATTAATAAATCTAATAATAACTAAAATCTTTATTTTATTTCTAATATTTTTTTTTAGTTATTAAATACTGTTTCTATATATAAATTTATATATCACTTTGAATTTTAAATAAAAAATTAAAATACAGTAATTATTATTATTATCAATTTATTACAAAAGTAATTATTTTTTAAAATATTCATTTCAATAATAATATGATATAAATTTATATTTTTTAATTATTTCAATCAATTGAAATTATAATATTCAATATATGATTATTATTATTATTATATTACAAATTTTTTATGTCAATTCTAACAAATATATAATACATATTTTATTTTACATATATTAAAATAATAATAAAAAAAACATTTATCTATTTTTTTAAAAAAGATATAATAAAATTATTATTTTAAGCGTATAAATAATTTTCAAAAAAAAACTTGAAAAGTTTTGTTTTTTTAATATAACAAATAATTAATAGGATTAAAATTGTTATTTTATTAGTATTAATGTTTATTATTAACAATAATATACTGTATATATATATATTTATAATATCTCTAGCAATGTTTTTAAAAATATTTTTTTATAAAGTTATTATGTATTAAATAAAATGTTTTCAATACAGTATATACTGTATCTATAAGATATTGAAAAATATAAATTTTCTATAACTTTTATTTTGAAAAATAACATATTTTGTTAGTTTTTAATTATTATTATTTTTTGTTGTTAACCAAATATTTGTTTAATTTTATGTAAATTGAGTAAAAATTTAAATTTATTATCTAATAAAAAATTATCATTAATTATTATCAATATATACAAATACCTACAGTTAATACTACACTAACTGTAAGTGTATTTATAATATATGATTTTGTTTGTTTAAAAATTTAACCTTCAATTTAATATAATAATAATATATTATATGTTTACAATAAGCAATTATTATGTATAATTAATATACATATCATAATATAATACCTGTATTACATATAAATTACATATACAGTATTAATTATCAAATTATAAACTTAATATATATATTATGATATATAAAAATAGTTTTAATCAAAATTGTTGATATCATATACTTTTATGGAAATATATTTAAAAATTATATAATATTTATTTAATAAGTGATAAAAATTTTAATATATAATTATTATTTAATTTAAAAAATAAATATTCTAGTTATTAAAGTTATACAATTATATGGTTATATTAAAAAAAACAATTATCACATAATAAACATGTTGTTAAACATGTTGTTTGTTTAATAATAGTACCCCCCCAAAAAAATGTGTTAAAATATTTTAATAATGATTACAGTATTATTATTATTGGCCATAATAGTGGCCACTGGTCATCATCATCATATAGTCCAAGCCGTCAACCTAACACGTGTTGATATTATACCATTGCCTGCACGTGTGAATCAATCAATTAGATTAGATTGTGTGTATGAATTGGCTGATAATGAGGAACTGTATGCCATTGAATGGCATAAAAATGGTAGCCTATTCTATAGGTATGTACCGAAAACTGGTTTGCCAGCCATAACCGTCTACCGGCTGCCCGGTTTGGATATAGATGTTATGAATAGTGGCCCGCGATCGATAAGGCTACTACAGATTGATACCGAAACGAGTGGCCAGTATGCATGTCTGGTCGATACCGGCGACCGACAAGTCTATCGGGCCGACCGAATGTTAACAGTGTTGCCATCAGCGGTAAATAGCTGTAACCAAATCGGGCCTACAAATTGGCCAATGATTATAATATCGTTGGTGACTATCGTATATATATTTTATATTATTATATAATCTTCAAAATTATATTTTTTTAAATAATAAATTTTTTAAATAATTTTTTTTTCGAAAAAAAATTAACTAAAATATTATATAATCTAAATATTCAATAATTATTTTTATATAATATAGATATTAATAGCTTGTATTTCAATGACTTTTTTTGAATTTTATTTTATTTATTTATTGTTATTATTATATTTGTAATATTGATATTTAAGATAAAAATAAATTAACAAACAAATTGAGATGGACTTTAATATTTAAGTTATAAATACTAGTAATATAAATATAAATATTAGATAATTAAATCATTAATAGACTATTTATAACTATACATACAGTTTAATACTTGTTTTATGGAAAACTAATTATATAATTATCAATAATAAGTCATTTATATAATAAGTATAACACGTATTGATGACACAACAGTTATTATGTAAACTATTTTTTTTTATATATATATAAAAAATTATATATAAAGTATATATCAGTAGTACCCACCCATACACCCCCACCCCCCCCCAAAAAAAAATCATGTATTTATCATCCATACAAAACCTATTGACCACAACAATACTGTTGGCCGTGACTGCCGGTCCAACAGTGGTAGTGGTGCACGGGTTGACCATAACCCGTATGGACGTACCATCACCTGCACGTGTCAATCAATCAGTTCAGCTAAACTGTCAGTACGAGTTGGCCACCAATGAACAACTGTATTCAGTCAAATGGTACGCAAGTAGTGGACACGAATTTTTCCGATATCTGCCCCGCGATCGGCCATCGATTAAGTTATTTCCGACACCCGGTATTACGGTAAACTTGGATCAAAGTGGCCCGAAGTCGGTAGTACTCGAGTCAATACAGCCGCAAACCAGTGGCCACTATATGTGCGAAGTATCGGTCGAAGGTCCCAGTTTTGCTACGGTTACGGCCGGCAAGGATCTGATGGTAGTGTCCGCTGCCACCACCGCCGCCGCCGATACTAGCAGTGGCCAACTAAACACTGGTGATGGCGATGACTGTTATCATCCAGTGATTAGTGATGTTTGTGTGGGAACGGTATTACTGGCTATCTATGGCTTGTTTGGTATATTATAATTGATTTTATTGTTTATATAACAACAACTACTACTACTACTACTAATTGATGATTAATTATATATGAATTTTACTAATAGTTATACTAATTGATTGTTTTTTTAAAAAATAAATATTATTTACAATTTTTTTATAATAAAATCATACCTTAGAGTAGTAAACACTGTATTAAAAATGAAATCATAAATAAATAAAATATATGTATTAGCAATTAAATTAAAATTAATAAATTTTATTTAATTATTTAAAAATAAAAAAATTCAAATAGAAAAATATATTTATAGTTTATATATATATATATAAACTACGGTAATAACAGAATATTTTGGTTAAATTATTCAAAAAAATAATAATTATTATTATTTTTAACAAAAAAAAATGTTTTTAAATTTTTTGCGCCAATAGTGACAATAGTCCGGAATCGGGTGCCGATTGCATAATCAGTTTCTGGCAATCCCTGAACTTGGGATGGGATGAGTCGCCCACCAAACCTCTATAATAATAATAACAAAATTAGTTATTAAAAAAACTAAATAATTTTTAAAAAAAACAAAATTAATTAAAAAAAAATTTACTTACAATATAACCGATTCACTGGTTGTAAGCCAAGCGCCTATGAAATTGAATTGAATTGATTTTTTTTGGTTATATAAAAAAAATTTAATTAAAGAAAATTATTTATTTTTGTTTTATTTTGTGGCCACAAAAATTACCGGCGGCTTTCACGCGATCAAAACCAAACATACGGTCGACCAGAGATCGTGAACTACAGCCGTCCACTACTATGTGAACGTCGTAGCCGTCGCTCAGGGCCTGTAGGGCTGTCCCCTGAACACAGACATGCGTTTCAATGCCGCACAATATGATACTATTGATGTCCGGATAATCCGATTTCAGTGTCTTCAGGACATCGGCCGTAAACATCGAAAACTGGGTTTTGGCCACCGGTTTGATGTCCGGATAGTCCTGTAGTCCCAGCTCTGGGACAGTCGGACCCAAACCTGTGTCAATCAATTCAATCAATCAATCAATAGATAAATACATCAACAAAAAAAATTATCAATTTTTTAAAACAACTAAAATTAATTAATTAAAAAATATATTGTATGTATAAAAACAATTAATAAATGTTATAAAGTTTTCTAAATATTTATAAAACAAAAATAACTTATAGTGTAATGTAATACTAATTATATTACAGTAATAATAATAATGGGTTTGAATTAAAATTCAAATAATAAACTAATAAAAGTTGTAATAAGTTTTTAAAAAAAATATTTTTTTCTCAACTGTACTCTACTATACTATGAAATGTATTGAAATTCAATACCAATTAATAATAATAATAATAATAAAAACAAACTTTTAGTTATTTAAAATTAAAATGTTTGTTAATTAGTATTAATTATGATTATTATTATTATTATTAGTCTAAAAATGTGAGAATAATTTTTAAAATGTGAAACAAATTATTAATACATTTTTTTTTGGTCAATACATTTCATATGATTAATACATTTTTTTACTAAATATTATAATATTGAAAACACACTGTAATTAATAATACATAAATACATTACCAAAAAAAAAATTGCAGTATTTTTTTTTAGACTCTCAATACTTGAGGAAAAATACATTAAAAAAACTAAACTAAAACTTAATTTTTTTTTGCTAAACACTGAATACTTTTTCCATTTTTTTTGTTGAAAAAAATTAATTAATTAAATTAATAATTAGTTACTAAAAAAAAAAGTTTATCTCAAAAAAATCAATTATCATCTCATTTCACGCGCGGACACACATTGATCGGCACCAATCAAATGGACATCAGCCGATTCGTGGACTTGCAGGGCACGCGTCTAGCGCGTGACCTAACCTGTCCGATATGTCTACTGATATTCGATCAGCCGATGACCACCCGCTGTGGCCATACGTTTTGCGCCGACTGTATTGGCCAATCGATACTGGCCGGCCGACGGCTACTGGTGTGTCCGCAGTGCGGCCGAACAACACGTACGGAAAACCAGTGGTGTTTGCTACCGAACACAAAGATTGGCCAGTTTATCGACGGCCAACGTATTAGCTGTACGTACGCGGCTAAAGGTTGTCCGGTGGTTGTCCTCTATGGCCAATTGCGCCGTCATTTGCTTGATTGCCGACACAATCCCTACTGTTATCGTTGCGGACCCAAGTGTACGGGCGCTGTACCTAAAGAGTGGCCAACAAAAGTGGTATCGGACGGCGGCGGCGGCATCGGTGGTCATCATCAATATCATCAGCAGTTCAGACAATATTAGGCCCGTTACCCGACCCGTTCGGACACATTTAATGGCAATCAGGTGTTTAGTAGTACCGACCGATTTACAAATGTTTTTAGGCATTTGTGACCAATTTTTTTTTGGATTTTTTTTTGTTTTTTTTTATTTACTAATTAATTATTCATTTACTATAAATAATTTTCAGGTATTTTTTGTTTGTTTGTTTTGTGTATTAATTTAATTACAAGTTTATATATCACATAAACTTTTAAAACAGTTTAATAATTAGTTAAACAACAAACAAACATAAGTTTATATAAATTTAGTTTTTTTGTATTATTATTATTATTATTTAATTACTACTAACTATTACTGTAATCGCCAAAAAAAATATTATATATATATATTTTTTAATAATTTAATCCTAAAATTATATTATATATTATATATACCATTAGTAGACTGACCACCCAATTTATTAGTAAACCTGTATAATAGTATAAAATTATTATTTTCACCTGTATTTTCCTGTATATTAAATATTATATTCCTGTATGTTAACCTGTACTTAAATAACAATATATTCGTGTATATTTATAATTTTAATTAATAAATTTAATTTAGATGCTATAATTACATAAAAAGTTGAAATTATTTTATATTGAACATGAACTATTTTAGAAATATTTATAAATTTTTTATATTTAAAAAAATATTTGAAATATTTAAACTGTATATTAAAAATACAAGCAATTTTTTACTAACAAAACTTAATTCATAGTTATTTTATACTTTTATTAATCAATTAGTTTAACATATTTTAAAATTGTATATTTTATTATACAGGTTAGCCCTTTCCTGTCACCTGTATTAGACCCTTGATTCCTGTATAATACAGGCGGCACCTGTATGGGTGGTCAGTCTAACCATTAGTAATATAATGATTTAAATACTTACCGTAATATTTAAAGTTTAAAAAAAAGTTTAAAATTATTATCATTTTTTATTTTTAGACATACCTTTCGGGTATTGTTCGGTAACTATTACAGGCATCTAAAAAATAATAAAAAATAAAAATAAATTGTAGTATAATTTGATAATTTAAAAAAATTAATAAAAAATAATTGTATTAATATATCCAAAATACTTGAATAATAGTAATATAATTATAAATTACTTTAAATAAATAAAAAAATTATTAATAATAATAAATAGTTTTCTAATTATTATTATTTAAAAAAAATTAATCTCTTGATTATTATTTAACAAAAATAATCCAATGTTAAGCCTATTGAAAATATTGTTATAAATGTTAAATATATGGTATTTTTTGTTGATAATAATAATAATACAGTAATATTGATAAAACATTAATATCTAAGTAATAATAATAATACGATATTATTTTTAATCGAATATATATATATATATATATATATATATATATATATTATTTAATACTAGTTTATATATACCATATATTGTAGTCAATTATAATTAAAAAATATTAATTAAAAATTATAATACTTTTATTTAATTTATTATTAGTCAAAAAAAATTAGCATGATAAACTAACTAGTGGCTAAAAAAATTAGTACTACTACTACTACTACTAAAATATTTTTACAAAATTTAAAACAAAAAATTTTTCCTAACTTCTAAACTAATAAAATTTAAAATTTAGCATGCTTAAAAAACTATTTAAAAAAACAAAATAGATTTAGCATATTAAAATTTATTTATTTTTTTAAATAAATAAAATAATTATGTCTTACGTCCAACAGTTTGGCCGCGCATAGCAACCGTCGGGAAACTTCGACAATGGCCGGAAAGTATTGGATCATTGGCCGAAACTTTTCCTGGAGGTCACACAAAAATAGGGCCGATTTTTTGGCCGACAACTGTCCCACACGTGCGCATCCACTCATTATTTTTAATTAAATTATTGTTTTTTAAAAAAAAAACTAAATTAATTTATTATATAGTTTTTTCCTTATTATAAGTACAATGTAAAAAACAAACTGTAATATTATTATTATTTTTTAATAATAATAATTTTTATCATCACAAAAAAATATTTATTTACAAATGTTGTACATGTACAATTTATTTTTTATACATAAATAATGACCATGATACAAAATAGTTAGTTAAATTATTATTATTATATATATAAGTTAGAAATTGTATTTATTAAATTTAGTTTTATTAAAATAAATATTTTTTTTTAATTAAGTGTCACTAGCAAAAAATAATAATAAATAATTTAATATTTACTAATTTTAGTTAATTATAATATTACGCAATACTTATGCAACTATTGACTGTTACGTACTTTATGTTTGATTCAATGCAATAAAATAATTATATTGTTGACAGACAGACATCAACAATGACGTCACGTATTGTAGATGTCATAGATGTTTGTTTCAAGTGGTTTGTGTTATATATAAATATACAGTACAACACCCGTTACAATTGAAAACAAAAATATATTTATTTTTTTTTAATTTTTAATAAATAATAATTAATTTAGTTTGGGGAAAAAATTATCATATAAAAAATTAGCAATTTTAAAAAAAAAAATTATTTTGACAATGCTATTTTTTTAAAAATATTACATGTGTATTGTATCTAGATAATAATACTAATGGTGTCCTACTGTAGCAGCAGCCAGCACAGTTACCATATTGTGCACCCGGTGCGCAATTTTTGCACACATTATGCACACGACACTAAGCTTATTGGCGGCCAATATAAGCGGGTGTCCACTGACCCGATCGGGTGTCAATAACTTTATTTTTTTTAAATCAGTGATAATTAAAGTGCTCTCTAATAAAAAAATTTTTTTATTTAATTTATTTATATATTTTAATAATATATTTAATGTGATATTCATTAGTTTGTGTGAAAAAAGTTTTAGACTTTTAGTTTTTTTAACTTTTACTTTCAAATTACAAGTGAATAATAAAATCAATCAATTTGTTTGAGCGGTAAGTTTGAAAATATTTATTATTATATTACTAATTAATTATTTTGATAATTAAGTTTTTTTAAAAATAAATATTTAAACTAACAATTTATGTTAAATAAAGTTAGTTAATAATTTCTAATATAAATTATATGTTTTAAAAAATCAAATTAGTATTTATATTAAATTCAAATATTATTTTTAAATTATTAACTATAATTTTTAAAAAAATTAATAAACATTTTTAAACATAAATAATTTTTTTTATCTCTGATAATTTAGTAATAATAATAATAATTAATTAATTTAATATTAAATTTAATATAATTAATTAATAATTAATAATTAATAATTAATAATTAATAATTAATAATTAATAATTAATAATTAATAATTAATAATTAATAATTAATAATTAATAATTAATAATTAATAATTAATAATTAATAATTAATAATTAATAATTAATAATTAATAATTAATAATTATTATTATTATTTTTATTATTATTATTAATTAATAATAAATCTAATTTTGTTTTTTATGTGGTATTTAAACAATAAAAACATTGATTCATAAACTAATTACACAAATAATTTCAGTTAATTTTTTATAAATTAAAAAAAATATACTAAAGTAATAATTATAAACTCAAGTTATCATATATTTAATATCAATATGTATTTTTAGTTGTATTATAATATTAAATTTAGTCTATCATAGTATATATATTAGTAGTACTAATTTTCCATTCAATTTTTTTTATCTCCCTGTCCACTAAAATCTTATGATTATATACCATATTAGTAGATAACGGTGCTCACACACACACACATAGACACACACACACACACACACACACACACACACACTATTGCACTATAATAATGAAATTGTTTTCTAAAAGTTTATATTTTTGTCAAAATTATAATTATTATTATAATTATTATATTTTAAATAAAATGATAACAATATCATTCAAATATACAAATTTTTCTAATCAATTAATTAAATTGATTAATGTATTTATTTTTTAAATAAAATAAAATTGATTGATTGATATATTAGTATTTTATTTATGTTTGTTTGTTATACTGGTATAAAAATATTGTAAATATTTTATATATCATATTTCAGTTTATTTATTTATTTTTCGTTAATTTTTATGTATTTTAAATAAACATTTTTTTATGTTGTTGTTGTTGAACTCAAAAATGATTTATTTTCATAAAATAAATATAATTTTTTTTATTTATTTAGATAATTACTGATAAATATTTTCTTTAAACATCTATTTGTAAACATTTAGCAATAATGAAAAATAGTTTTTTTTAAAAAATAGTATTTAATATATATATTTTTAATAATCAATATATATATATATATATATATTGAATATAATATGTAAAAAATACGGTATAAAAAATGATTTCAATTTTTTTTATCATTATATTATAAAATATTTAGAAACAATATAACTATTTTCTTATTATAATTTTTTAATATTATTTCCACTTAAGATACTAGAAATGTATATGAAATATATTATTGATAATAATGTTATTATTAAAAAAAAAATTATTAAAAATATATAGACTTTAATCTAAAAAAATACTGTAATAATAATAATAATAATAATAGTATAGTTAATATAATTAATTTTAAATGTTATAATAACATAATATATTATTTATTTAGAAATATTTAAAATACATTATAATATTATTGATCGAAATTATTAATAATAAATTAATTATATTTTTGTATAAATAAAAATTTTACGATAAAAAAATATAATAGTATTTCGTTTATTAAATATAAACTTAAAATATTTAATACACGCGATATTATGATATTAAATAAATATTTAAAAAATAAAATAAACTAAAATTTTTTTTAATATAATTTACATTGAAATATAATATATGTAACAAAAATAATTTATTGCATACAAATATTTATAACATTAGTTTTAAAAAAAAAATAATATTAAAATAATTAAACAAAAAAAAACTTTTATATATAAACTATTATTATTTAGTTTTAGTTTATTTACAGATTTAATAACAAATTTATTCATTTAGAAAAAAATCTAAAATAATTTTTTTTCTGTATATAATTCTATAATAATTTAATAACAAAAATATAATAATTTATTTTTTGTTAAAATTATATTTTTAAAGTTTTAGTTAACAACAAACTAAAAAACAAAAAAGTGATGACAAAAGTGGTACTAAATTTGCAGATAACTGGCCTCCGATGCCAGTCGTGTGTCCAGAAACTCAAGACACTGGTCGCTGAAGTCGACGGTATCGACAGCCTGGAGATAGTGTCGGCCGATGTTAAGACTGGCCAAACAATTGTTGTCTACGATCCGGATGTGATCGATGCCGACCAGATTTGCCAACTGATCCGTACGGATAGCCAATTGAATGTTACGGTCGATTTGGTTGAAACAGATTTTGTCGACAACAACAACGAAACCTGTCCTACGGTTACAACAACACCAACAAGACATGAAACTATCGGTAATTGTCGTAATAATAGTCCCAAAAAGTTGACCACCGATACTGATCATCAGCAACAGCAGCGGTCAGCGACAAAATTAAAGACACACCAAAAAAGTGATTTAGACATTAGTAGTTACGAACCGCACGTACGGCCAGTCAAGTGTTATCTACAGATACGGGGTATGACCTGCGCATCGTGTGTGGCCAACATCGAGAAACAGTTGATGAAAACCAAGGGTGTGCTGAGCGCATTGGTAGCGCTGATGGCCCAGAAAGGAGACATTGAATACAATCCACGTCTGATAACACCCGACAGGATTGCCGAAGTAGTTGATGATATGGGTTTTGAGGCCACTGTCATCGATCGGGATGTAGGCGCCGGCGGCGACGCATTGCACGACATAACACTGCATGTATTGGGGATCAGCTCCGAGAAGGATCTCGAGGTTCTGGAGAAGGAACTCGCGAAACGATTTGGTGTCAAACGTGTGGACATTATCAGCAGAGGAGGAGGAGGAGGAAGACAACGGGCATCGGCGGTGGCGGACGACGAGGACAAACAACAACAACATCGGGTCAAAGTATGGTACGATCCGGAATTGGTCGGCGCACGCGATATTGTTAACTGTGTCGAACAAATGGACCGCGGATTTACCGCATATCCGGTTACCGATACGGCCGTCGGCAGTAATTCTACCGACCAGGCCATGCGACACGAAGTACGCAAATGGCGAAACAGTTTTCTGGTTTCACTTGTATTTGGCGTACCGACTATACTGACAATGATTATCTTCATGTATGTCCTGCCGCACGATAATGGCGGCCATTGCTGTCTGGCTCCGGGCCTATCGCTCGAGAACCTCATACTGTTGGTACTGTCCACTTTGGTCCAGTTTATCGGCGGTCGACATTTCTATGTCCAAGCCTATCGGGCCTTGAAACACGGTACGGCCAATATGGACGTCCTGATAATGCTGGCCACTACCATCGCGTACTTCTACAGTGTAGCCATTTTGCTCTACTATATGGCCCGTGGTTTTCAGGCCAGTCCGCTAACGTTTTTCGACACACCACCCATGCTATTGGTGTTTATAGCGTTGGGTCGTTGGCTGGAATGTATGGCCAAACGTAAGACATCCGAAGCACTGGCGCAGCTGATGTCACTGCAGGCTACCGAAGCCAATCTGGTCGAAAAAACTAGTACCGGTAGTAGTGGTGGCCAATCGGTAGAAATCCGGCCGATACCCGTTGATCTGGTCCAGAGAGGCGATCTATTGAAAGTGTTTTCCGGCGGCAAAATACCGGTCGACGGACGTGTCATCGAAGGCGAATCAATGGTCGACGAGTCGCTGATTACCGGCGAGTCGTTGCCGGTACACAAAAAAGTCGGTTCGCTAGTCATCGGCGGTTCAATCAATCAGAAAGGAGTACTAGTAATGGCCGCCACACACGTCGGCAAAGATACAACACTGGCCCAGATTGTCAAACTCATTGAAGAGGCCCAGACATCGAAAGCACCGATACAACAGTTGGCCGACCAGATTGCCGGCTATTTTGTACCGTTTGTATTGTTAACTTCATTGGTAACGCTGTCGGTATGGATGGCCATCGGTAATGTCTACTTTGATTATATCTATCAACAAAATCCCGATCTCTACGAGGCTATGGATCGCCAGGAAGTGATCATACAGTTTGCCTTCCAGTGCGCACTCAACGTACTGACCATTGCCTGTCCCTGTGCTCTCGGATTGGCCACACCGACTGCCGTTATGGTTGGCACAGGAATCGGTAATAATTGATTGAATTGATTGAGAAAAAAAATTTATAAACTAATCCATGATTTTTGTTTCGCCACTACAGGTGCCGTCAACGGTATACTCATCAAAGGTGCCGAACCACTGGAAAATGCCCACAAACTCGGAGCCGTCATATTCGACAAAACGGGAACCATTACTTACGGCAAACCAGTAGTAACCAAAGTCATAGTCATCACCCGATTCGCTGACCAACGTTCACTGCAACGTATGTTTGCCGCTGTAGGCATTGCCGAAGCCAATAGTCAACATCCGATTGGTAATGCTGTGTCCAAAATGGTTGATAAATTGTTTCAGTTGGACACCGATCGGACATCGAACAGTGTTTATGGCAAATGCGATGAATTTGTTGCCGAACCCGGTTTCGGTATCCGATGTTCGGTCAGCCGAAAAACCATTGATGAGATCGTAAGCGACGAAAACTTTCTGATCGACGATACTGACGATGGATATCAACTGAAGACTACTATCAGTGCCGATGAAGAGTTCAACACTGATATCGTCTATTTGTATGAACAACGGTCACCGATACAGCTAAAGGCCGATAGTTTTCAAGTGGTTATCGGTAATCGCAAATGGATTGCCAACAACGGTATGTCAGTGACCGATGAAGTGGACACCGAAATGCGTCTACTCGAAGATAACGGCCAAACAGTATTTTTGTGCGCTATCGATGGCCACGTTGTCTGTGCACTGGCAGTAGCCGATCCAATCAAACCCGAAGCCCAGTTAACTATCTACCAGTTACGCAATCGGCTGGGACTGGAAGTAATATTGTTGACCGGCGACAATCTGAACTCGGCTACAGCTATTGCCCGCCAGTGTGGACTCAAACGTGTATTTGCCGAAGTACTGCCGTCGCACAAAGTGGCCAAAGTCCGAGAGTTTCAGTCGCGCGGCCTGAAGGTGGCAATGGTTGGCGACGGTGTTAACGATTCGCCAGCACTGGCGCAGGCAGACGTCGGCATTGCCATTGCCAACGGTACCGATGTGGCGGTCGAAGCGGCCAATATTGTCTTAGTTCGGGTAAGTAGTAGTCCGTCAACAGTCGGTCGGGTGGACACCGAAATAATTATTATTACTATTTGCTAACAAACAGAACGATTTGCTTGACGTCTACGCGACCATTGATTTGTCCCGAAAGACTGTCCGCCGAATTCGTCTCAACTTTTTGTTTGCCATTGTCTACAATCTAATTGGTATACCATTGGCTGCCGGTCTGTTTCTACGCTGGTCACTGGTTTTGCAGCCATGGATGGGCGCCGCAGCTATGGCCGCCTCGTCGGTAACGGTAGTCTGTTCGTCGCTATTGTTGAGACTCTATCGTAAACCCAGTCGTCAGGAGTTGGAAACCGCTGACGAATATCGGAAATATTTACAGCGATTGAACGCAAGACATCGTCTACGACACGACTTGGACTCACTATCGTTACATCGCGGCGATGACAGTGTCGGTGTCGTCGGCGGCATCGGAGGATCGGCTGCTGACTCCAGGAGACCATTGCTACGCAAGTCGACGACTGGCAACAATAGGACGACTGACGTCACCGATATGTCGTCGTCGTCATCACCGAAATCATTGTATACTTAATTGTCTTTTTTTAAATATTATTATTATTATTATTTAATTATATAAATTGTCTTTTAATATATATATATATATGTGTTTGTAGTGTCTGTAAACTATTTATTTGTTAATTAATTCATTAAAAAAAAAATTAAAATTAAAATTTCATAAGTCGTTTCAATAGTTTTTTTTATATATAGAAATTATTGGTGCGTTTTGTTGACACCACAGTAATGATTATTATTATCACACAGTCGTGTGTGTGTGTGTGTGGATGGGTGGGTGTGAATCATGTGTTGATGATATTTAATGCAATTGATAATTGAATTGTTTTGAATTTAATAAGCTATTGATTGACAGTAATGTTAGGGGAGTGGGTGGGGAGGGAAGATATCGGATAATAACCGGCGCACCTCCCGTTCCCCCGGTGTTGTTTAACCCTAACCATTGGACATATTGTCTTCCTCTTCATCATCTTCGGGAAGTACTCGTTCGTCATCATCGTCGTCGTCAACAATATTTTTCGTGTCAGTAGTTGCAGTCGTGTCATCAAACTGTTCACTGGTGGTAGTGGTCAGCACCAACTGATGATGATCACCGGCTCCGACTGTATCAGTATTGGCCATAATAACAGCGGCAATGGCTAGTTCATGATGTGTTTGGGCACCGGTACTACTTTCGGCTACTGCAGCGGCGGCGGCGGCGCCTGCATTCGGTGGTTTCGGTTTCAATAGCAGTGAATCGCGTTTCTTTTTCGGACACGTAGTCTTACCGAATATACGTTCCCGATGGCCAACCTCTTTACAGTAGCTACACTTTGGCTGACCCGCACGCTTACGTTTGGCACCACCACTGGCCCCGCCGCCGGCGGCAGCAGTTCCACCACTACTCGACTCTTGGGTTCTATTGTCCCGACGTCTCGAATCCGATGACGACTTTTTATTATCCGATTTCGATCTCTTGTTGTTGTTCTTTGGCGTAAAAATACTTTTTCCCTATTATTTGCAAATCGGTGACCAATAAAAATGGAAACAATACAAGAAACCAATGTTATTACCACTAATTTTTTTTTCGGGACAACAACACACTTACCGTATATTCTTGTCCAACACTAGCGTATTGAAAGCCACGGGCTTCGGGATCGGCGCATATCAGCGACTGGAAGGCAGTGGGCGTAAACTGTCGGATATTTTCGTACAAATAGAGTTTCCTTTCCATTGTCATCGATTCCAGTTCCAGACATTCGGGTAGTTCGCCTGATATGTGGTCCAAGTGTTCGTTATCGATAAGCTGATAGGATATGGTATCACTGTTGACCATCCGGCGGCACAGTACTAGACCGGGTACTTCGTTGCTGATCTCAAAGTGATTATTACTGTTCAGGATATTGGCGTCCAAGTTGTTGATGTGCGCAAACTTGTCGTTCCAGTCCAACAGCGGAAACTCCACATCGCCGTCATCGTTGCCGACCAGTACCGGCGTTATGGATTCGGTTGGTCCGCAACAACGTTCGGCAATCATGTAGACATCTTTCAGACTATTGATATCGCAATTGCGAAACTTTTTCTTGAATACGCCCATAAATAGGTCGTTCCACGATCGGGAATGACCTTTCGGCATATAGGACAGGACTATCTTTTCGTTGAGACCTAAAAAAACCAATCATTCACTCAATAATCTGTTAGTTAAGTTGGGGGAGGGATTGGGAGGTGATAGACATACCGGTAACCGATCGCCACATAAAATAGGATAATATGTGATTGTTTTTGCTTTGCTGTACACTATTATCCGAAAAATGTATATATGTTTGACTTTCGCTTAGGGCATAGTTGGTAAAAAAATGGTTGATCAACGAAACGGTAATATCTTGGAGTTTATCGTTGCCATTGGAACCGATAATAAATTCGGGTACAATATAGAGATAGAATTTTTCAATCGGTTCAATACAGACACCGAACAACGAGACCTTGTAGGCCGAATGAAAGTAGACAGAGGACAGTCGACTCGAATAGGGCAGGGATACGGATGTATACCAGTCGAATGTATAGTGCATGGTTGCCGGTGACGACTGTTGTTGTCCATGAGCTGAGGTGGTTCCTCCCTGGCACTGGATCAGCGACTGTCGGGCCAGTTCGACCATTTGCTTATAGTAGGCCAGTTCGTGGTGCTGTAGGGACAGGTGATGTATGAACTTTTCGGTCGATCGTAGCTTACGATTATCATTGAGCGGTTCCGGTTTCGACAGTATATACTGATGTTCGCGACAGTCGCGACAAATTTCGTACTTATTTTTCGGTACCATAACGTTGGGGCACAACCAGTCCCATAGGGCGCCCCACAGGGCAAACGATACGCCGTCCCGGTGCAGATCGCGACAGCATATCATATACTGGTCGTAGATATACTTGCGAGTCATGTTGGCCACTGCGGGCAACAAAAACAAATCTTTTACCGACCTATCCGGACAGACATAGCGACCGGATAGCTGTAGGGCGTGTTGTTGGGCATAGTTTTTGATGAATATGACGGCATCCCGGCGCTGATCGTTCGGATCCGATTTAATCAAATCTTTGGTCATCTGAGCCGATTCGTGCGCTTTGGGCGCTATACCGGTAGTCAAGAATTGTTTCATAACATTTTTGACACGTTTTTCGCCGCAACCGAATACGAATAGGAAAAATTTGCGGCAAACTTCTTGGCCGCGAAATCGGAACTGTGTCCGCGCATTCTTCCGATCTTTTGGTCGATGTTCTAGACGTGTATACAGTCGGGTCGGGAACCAGTCGTCAGGGGACAGCCCCGAGAGAAAAAAAACGGAAAAACAAATTAGTATTTTTTAAAAAAAAACTCGTACGGCTCGGGAAAATCAATGATTATCGGGTGTGTGTCCACTATGGGTGTGTTCCCCCGGTTAGCGCGGCAATACCTTTGGCAATAGTAGTCGGATGATTCTGGACCAGCGAGTTCATGGCGCCCAACAGTAGCAAATGTTGATGATTGATATGATCGGGACAGTACTGGTCGGCGTCCAGAGCGTCCAAATGAGCCTCAAATGCCATAAACTTCGGAAATCTTTCGTGACATTTACGATGACAGCCGCAACCTTCGCGAAAATAGTCATCAAAAACCTCGGAACACTTGACCAGATCGTCGGGTATATCGTCAAGATTATCGAGAATATTCTTGAGTTCGGGTAGACCGCCGTGATGTTGTTGTTGTTGGTCACCGCCGATATCGTCAACGCCACCACCAGAGTCCAGGCCATAGTTGGCAGCCGAAGCGGCGGCGCCGTTCATAAAGTCTATGAGAGAGAGAGAGAGAGAGAGAGCGGGAGAGAGAAAAAACGGGGATTTTTCGGTCAAATTTTTGTGTCCAGGAATTTTTGGCGGCAAAAAAAACATACAGACCGTCATCGGTAGTGGTGGTAGTGGCGGCCACTACAGCATCGGATACGTACTCGTATCGGGCCATCGTTTCCATTTGTTCGGTAACCCTAACCGACTCCATAAAAAAGTCGGGTATAATGTCTTTGACTTCGTCGGGCAGACAATCGGCCGAATACTGGCCAATAAGTTCAGCCTTTTTGTCGTAAACGGGCGACAAGTCGTCGTCATCGTCATCGCCGCCGCCGATGGTGGCCATTAGCGCTGGTCAATATTACTCGTGTCCTATCTCTCTCTCTATCTCTATACCCGATGGCCCGTAATTTCCCGAAACTTTTTGGTGGCCACTACTGTATAATAATTTAAAAACTAATATTCAATTCAATGGACGCTTTAATACAGCAAACAAATGGCTGTTTATATGGTAATGATTTTTACAATGTGTTTCACTAGTATAAAATGGCCTAAAATGTCGTCAATGGAAACCTATTGAGTTATAAGTGGGTACTATTGGGACTATTTCTATGTATTAATTGTCTCATTGGGCGCCTACTCTAATATAGGCCAACAATAGTTAGTATAATTTTGGTACAAATTGTGTTTTGCTATACAATTAAGTACGTTATGCTATACTATACAGTATTAATATATGTTTACTATTATTATATTAAAAGTTTTATTATTAACTATTATTAACTAATATTTTTTGAAAAAAAATTAAATAACTATTTATTTATTAAAATATAATTAACATAATATTATTAACTAAATTTTTTTTATATACATATCAATGTTAGAAATTAATAATAATTCATTAAAATAATAATAATTTTTATTCAAACATAAATTCTAGTAATAAATTATTTTCTTAATAAATTAATTTTTAATTTATTTATTTAAAAAAAACTTAAAATACAATACTTTTTTTTGAATGTATAATTAATTATAAATTAAATTTTTGTTTAGATATATATAGGGAGAATCAATGCATGTCATATAAAATACGGTAATAATAATAATAATATATAAATAATTTTTTTAAATTGTTTAATCATAACATACGGTATATTGTTATAACATTTTATCAAATTAACAAACAAAAAAAAAATTTTGCTTTTACTATATCTTACTTTTATCATAACATTACAAAAACATCAATTAGTTTACTAATAATAATAATAATATTGAAAAAATTATTAATAAAAACAAATAAACTTTTAAATTATTTATTTTTCTTATCGGACAGTAGACTGTCGTGCAGTTTGAGTACTTCCGACTCAAACTTATCGTACAATAGTGTGCCGTCGGTATCAAACCAGTTGGCTATCGATTTCGATAGGTTAGCTTCGGCTACCCGTCCATTGGGTGCCTTGTATTCAATGCACAGATGATAGATATCGTCAAAACGTTTCAGCATCGATGACAGTGTCCACAACTGTTTAACCGAACCGAACCAACCAATCGGGTAACCAACGAAACCCGGACAATGAAAACAAACAAAAAAAAAGTTTTAAAATTAAAAAGTTATTAAAACAAACATTTAATTTAAAAAAAACTAAAATTAAATATTTTTTTGTTGTTTGAAAGACAATGAATCAGACGCTTCCGCAGGCAGACCATCATAGGTTTGGGTAAACCTCCGGTGGAAACCGCGAATGTTTCATGGGAAATTTAAATCATCACTTTCATTGTCATCATCTAAGCGGCACTGGGATTTGAACTCACAACCCTTAACCCTATAGCTATAGAGGGAGACCTATGTCGCAAACCATTACACCAGTGAAACGTGTTATAAACTACCAGTGCTTAATAGGTTACCTGTTTTTTAAAGCTAATAGTTAGTGATAAGCCATGGATTATCCTAATATCCCCCCCAAAAAAATTATTATTATTATTATTAATTTTAGTTAAAAACATCTAAATGTATTAATTCCTATGACACGTGTGTTAAATAAAAAAAAAATTAATTAATTTAAACTAAACCCTAATTCATAAATACAATTGATTTATGACAACAACAAAAAAAACTATAATTTCAATGACAATGGGATCAATCAATCAGTCAATCAATGAAATCCATTACCACTTATTATAAGTGATATCATATGTGACACGTGTTTCCCTCCCGTCTATAGGTATTGCTATCAATAACTGCTAGCAAATGAAAAACCGGGTGATGTGGACAGGGATGTGTGTGTGTGTGTACTATGTGTCCATACCTTAGTAGCACCGTTGGCATCGGTCTGTACGGCCCGCAAGAAGATACCCTTTTCGACCAGAGTCGTATAGGCGGTCAAAATGGACATCAATACAAAATAGCCGATTACGCACAGTATGAGTACGGGTCGAGATTCGGGAAACGGTCGCATATAGTCCCAGACCAGGGCAAACATGGCCGCACCAACAGCCGTAACACAGATGGCCAGCCGTGTGTCGACCAGCGAATGATTTTCCCGATACTTGAGTTTGCGATCGGTATCGGTAAATGTTTTCTTGACGGCATCGTCCAGCGAATTTTTCACCGCATTACCGTCCCATTTGTCTACTTTGACCTCTTCGGCAGCTGCGGCGGCGGCCGATTGGTCACCATTTCCCGAGTCACCGTTGTTTGACATTGTTTTATACGGTAGTTGTAATATCTATTCAGTCGCGGCAATCGTTGGTGATGACCACTTTTGGCGGGTTGTATTGTTTACGGTATATAATATGATAGTCACTGTTGGTGGTGGTCACTGGTTGTTGTTGTGGCCACTCGTATGTGTATTACCGTCGGTACCGATTGATAACTATGTGTATGTGTTGTGTAAATAATTTTTTATTTTAATATTATTTGAATACAAAATATATTGTTTGAAAATCAATGCTGAGTTGGCTTTAAGTTATGCTATGCTATGCTATAGTAATAATACAGTTTAGACTATGATTTAATATACAAATAGTATAAAGTTTTTAAAAAAATATTTTTAATTAAATTGTTTTGTTTGTTGATTGCATAAATGTTTATTACAAGTTATTTATAGAAATTAAAATATTATTATTATTTGAATGAGAAAATGTTCTGGTTAATTTTTTATTTTAATTATTATTAATTTTAAAAAAATAATACATTGTGTGTGTGTGTGTAGTAGTAGTGTATATTATAGCGATAGTTAGACTGTTATATGTACTCTACAGTACAGTGCATAGCATATACTGTATTAATATTAGCGCAATGTTTGAATTATTGTATTATAGTCACCCATTGGTCATAAATAACGTTCATATATAACAATACCCTCTAATTTGTTTTATCCATAGTATTGATCGGCTATTTGTATTAATATATAATTTTATTTTGCAAACAATTACTAGACATTATTTATGTTTTAAACTGTATGTGTTTATATAAATTACAGTAATTTATTTGAAATCAGTGTTTTTACAACAATACACACTAGTGGGATCAACCAATCACACATGTGGTATCAATGTAAAGGTAGTAATGACATCATAAGTAAATTACTGCACAAATGTTATATAGTATTATTAATGCTTTTAGCAATTAATACAAAATATACTATGCAGTGTTACCAAATAAAAAAATAACAACCCAAATTTTAAAAATTAAAAATATAAACTAAAAAAAATTATGTTGCTTTAATTTAATTATGAAATAAATATAAATAAATAAATATTAATAATTTAATAATAATTTAATAATAATTTAATAATAATTTAATAATAATTTAATAATAATTTAATAATAATTTAATAATAATTTAATAATAATATATAACTTATATTTATACAAAATTAATTTTAAAAATTTTTAACATCTTTAATAATTTATTTTATTTAATTATTTAATTAATTTAATCAAATTAAAAAAATACCTGTCGGATGATATTTAGATAATATCAGGTTCGAAGAGCGCAAACCGGTACTGAAAATGTCGCAAAATGATGATAGCCCAGACATCACTGAGGCACACCATACTATTTACATACATATCCCTCTACCGCAATTTGAGATCTTCGACTAAAATTCAAAAACCGAAATTTTTTAATTCACGTTATTTATGCATGATATATTAGTATTAAAAATACAGTGAAATAATTTATCATATGCATAAATAACGTTAATTAAATAATTACGATTTTAATGTAGAATATTTCGAATACTAAATGACATTGATATTTTGTTTTCAGATATAATATTAGTATTAAAAATACATTGAAATCATGAAAACTATTTTAATTTTTTTGATTATCTTAATATCAAATATTTTTAAATTGTAATTATAATAAAAATTAAAATAATACAATAATTGATTAAAGTAAAATAATTATGAACTATAAAAATAATACAATGTTAATTACAAAAAAGTAATTTAATTAAATGATTACTAATTACTAATTACTAATTACTAATTACTAATTACTAATTACTAATTACTAATTACTAATTACTAATTACTAATTACTAATTACTAATTACTAATTACTAATTACTAATTACTAATTACTAATTACTAATTAAACTAATTACTTTATTGAAATTAACATTGTAATATTTTTATTGTTGATAAGTATTTTACTTTAATTAATTATTGTATTATTTTCATTATTTCACTTATAATTAATGTAGAATATTTCGAATTCTAAATGACATTGATATTTTGTTTTCAGATATATTATTAGTATAAAAAATACATTGAAATCATGTATCATATGCATAAATAACGTGAATTTAAAAATTTCGATTTTCGAACTTTAGTCGAATATCTCAAACTGCGGTAGAGGGATATGTATGTAAGTGGTATGGTGTGACTCTGATATGACTGAGCTATCATACTTTGCGGGATTTTCATTACCGGTTTGTGCTCTTCGAACCCTTTGGATAACATGTTCTTTCAATCACACAATGATAACATATTATTGAAACAGTTATGTAAACATAATTTATTGTCACTTTATAAGTCTGAGTAAGTTTTCGTGAGTTTTTAATTGTTATTATAGTAATCTTAAAATCATCAAAAATTTATAATATATTGCTTACTAGATAATTACAAGTGTATTACTAAAGTATTATTTGGTCATTCTAGTTATGTCAATAATGACATCACTACTTTCCCACTAGTGTGTATTCTACTAAAAACCCTGTTTGAAATTCAAAAAATAATATTCAATTCAAATATAATATACAATCAATCAATCAATCAATTGATTGAATACATTCAATGAACAAACAATTAAATTAATTAATAGTTATAAATAAATAGTTAACTAATAATAATAATAATAATAATAATAAAATTAAAATTATTATTAGTTTATGTTTTTTTTGAGATAACAACCAAACAGTGCCGACGGTAATCAAAATGGGCAAATTGGTGACCATTAACGATGAGAATAGTCGCGGCGGTAGCGCTACGGCTATGGCTACGGCTGCTGCTGCTGGCAATGGTCAGCAAAAGTTGGTGGTCCCGATAAAGTTGGTGGACAGACGAAAGACATCGCCGGTTAAGCTAAAAATGAAGACATTGGGACCGACAGTTAGAGAGCGATCAAAACGCCGTCAATTGAACGGATACTCGTGTAAGGTATGTATTGTCGAGACCATCGATTCAATTAGCCAATCGGCCACTTAGGCCATCGGTGATCTGACTAATCGATTATTTGTTGACATCAGGAATGCGAAGACTACTACAAGACACGACAGCTAAGCGACGGCCAACTCCGCAATCGGCTGAACGAGTGTTCCCGTCATCGACAGGAGTATTCGCCGCCCAAATCGCCCGAACATTTCTGGGAGACACACATACCGACTACACCAGAACTGATCCGACGGGGAGTCTTCAATGTGGAAGACAAGCGATTAGTAGGTGTGAAGACGACGACCACCACCACCGAGAAGAATAAGAAGAAGAAGACGTGGAAGTGTTTGGAGAATGAGTTGAGTCAGTCTTCATCGTCAACGACGACGACAACATCGGAACAAGAGATTGTTGTCTTAAGCGATTGACTGATCCGCTGATCCACTGATAGGTCACACATACTATTGCTAGACATATACTAATGTTTTTAAGTCTTTTATATATAAAAAAAAATTGTATCTTATATTCAATCAATGAATGTGTGATTCAATCGGTTTGGTTACCATCCGATGCTAATGAGTGGTATAGAAGAAGATATATATATGTTTTGTAAAAGCCTTTTAAAAGTGCCATTAATTTTAAAAACATAATTTCATTTTTTTAATCTTAAATATTCAAGAATTATTATTTTATTTATTTTTCATTATCAAAGAATTTATTATATATTTATAAAATTTATATCCAATTGTTTGTTGTTGTTGTTTAAGTCATATATTTATTGTATTTTTTTTAATCGGATCCATATATAGATATATACTGTATATAGGTTTAGCTAAATTTTGATTTTTAAATTATCATTTAGTTAAAACACCATTTTAATGATACCATACATACAAACTAACAATAACTAAAAGCAAACAATTTATATGAATTTTTTTTCTAGTGAATGAGTTTTTTTTAAAAATAATAAAAAAATACAATATATACTGTATATTATCATAATTTATTTTCTATATACTGTATATATAAATTATATCGCAAACAAAATACATAATAAACGAGATATAAAATAAACATTTAGTATAAGAATTTTATGTATGTATGTATGTTGTGTGTGTTTGTATGTATGTGTGTGTGTGTGTGTGTGTGTGTGTGTTTGTATGTGTGTGTATGTGTCTGTGTGTGTGTGTGTGTGTGTTTGTATGTGTGTGTGTATGTGTATGTGTATGTGTATGTGTATGTGTATGTGTATGTGTATGTGTATGTGTATGTGTATGTGTATGTGTATGTGTATGTGTATGTGTATGTGTATGTGTATGTGTATGTGTATGTGTRTGTGTGTGTGTGTGTGTGTGTATGTGCAGTCAAGTATGGTATGGATAGTCAGTCACACACACACACTTACATACAGTAATTTATAGATAGACGTCAATATGGATTCACACAAATTGTTTTGCAGAGATTCTGTACATCAAATATGATATAATATAATAAACATGTTATATATATATTTGACTGAACTTTGGCACTGATATATATATATATATAGTATATATATCCACCTCCCTATGCTCTATAAACTCTCACTCAATCACATATTATTACATATATTTATATATACATATAATTTTACAATATATATATATAAATCCATAGACACATTGAAAATATTCATTTTAATTTTTAACCAATAGTTTGTTGTATTATTGTTGTTGTTGTCTGAGATTTCCAGACATTTATAGCCCTTCCCCTCTCAACAATATATATAATTGCCCGGTGCTTAATTCTCCAGTAGTTATATGATTTTTTTTAAAAAAAAGGTTATATTATATAACTTATATACAAATTACAATTACTTTTATATAAATTTGTTAATTATTTTAAATTCTATTAAATGTATTATTTTATATTATATATATATATATATATATATATATATATATTTAAAATTCTTATACAATTACCATACATTAAATTAATGTAAAAAATATAATAAACAATAATTAGTATTAATTTATTTTTTTTATATATATATACTGTATATTTAGATCCGATTTTTTTCGGGTGAAAAAACAGTTTATCTAAACACAAACACACCTACAAAAACACACACCAATGAGTAGTAACGGCTCGCCACCGATGATCAGCGGCGATCAATTGGCCGACCAATCGTTGTCTCCGCCGTCGTCCCAATCGGCTGTCGACCCGCGCAACGGATTTGTCCAGTCGACCAGTGATGGCATCCGTAACCCGAAGTGTTCAAAATGCCGTAATCACGGCAGTCACGTTCCCGTCAGAAGTGAGTCGTTGTGTTTTTTTAAAATGTTTTTTTTGTTGATTTTATTTTATTTTTTTCAATAGTTATACAATTTATAATTAAATTTGTATTAATAAGTCATATATTATTACATATATATTGTATATGTGTTATGTGTGTTAGGGTTTACCGCTAACTATATACCGGTTATATACTGTAAATATCTATTCAATATATACAGTATATATATATATATATATATATATATATCTTAAAAGTTATAATCACTGATTAAATTAGCTTGGTAAAAATTTTTCAAAAAAAATATATTAGAAATAATTTTCATTTGAATATAAAATAACATTTTAATTTCTAACTTAATAAAATGTTATTTATATAAATAAAATATATACAGTATATGCTCAATTTATTAAATAGTATTAATTTATTATTAATTTATTAAATTAAGTTAAAATGTAGTTTAAAAAAAATATTTATTACTATTTTATTATTTCTGATCAATTTTTTGAAACACAAATATTTAGTATAAATATACTAAAAGTTTGCTATAAAATTAAGTAAATTAGACAATAATTTATAAATTTGAATTAAATATAAAAAAATTGCATAATTTTTTTTAAAGATCTAAAATGTAATATATATATAATTTATTACTAATGTCATAGTAAATTGTAAGTTAACTTTCATAAAAAATTAAAAAAATATTATTTAATTTTTATACAAAATTTCTAGATTTTAAAAAATATTAATAACTTTAACATTAAAAATAAGCACAAAAAGATACATATTATATATGTATATATTATATGTAATAATATCAATATATAACTTTTATATATATATTAACTAGGTAACAATTTTAAAATTTTAGTTTTTACAATTATTTAAATAGCACACACACACACACACACACAAAATATGTAAACTTTAATTTTTCCATAATTTATTTTTAATAATTTTATTTTTTCAAAAAAATTAAATCTAATTTAATCTAGATCATAAACGTTTTTGTCCATGGCGCGATTGTCATTGTACCAAGTGCAATCTAACTGATGAACGTAAACGTATAATGGCTGCACAGGTAGCCCTTAGACGACAACAACAAAAGGATGAGGAACTGGGTCTCATTCATCCCGGTAATGGAGCCGGCAATGGTGTTGATGGTGGTGATGATGGTCAGGAACAGTTAGTTACTGATAATGATGGTGTTGGTTACGAACCGAAACGGTTTATCGGTCTCGAAGATTGGTTGGCCAAAGAACTGGAATGTCCTATATGTTTGCATATCTTTCGCCAACCAGTGGACACCCAATGCGGTCATACATTTTGCCGACAATGTATACAGCGTTTAGTTATCAGCGATACGCTGATATGTCCGCAGTGTCGGTGCGTAACACATAAGATATGCCAGCGATTGGCGGAATCGTCGTCAACAACCGGAGTCTCGGTGTTGGCCAACAAATTGGATCCGTTTTTGAAGTCCAATCGTCTTGTGGATAGCATTATCGGTCAGTTGAAGACCAACTGCGACTACAAGGACAAGGGTTGCCAGGAGGTACTGGAGCTAAACCTATTGGACTCGCATCTGGAAAAGTGTAACTATAATCTGTGCGACAATTGTGGCCAAAAAGTCGGTAAACGATTCAAACATAACTGTTGTAAAACTGTTTCTAAATAATTATTACTTTATATAAATATTTTTTTTATAAAAAAAACAAACTATTTTTTATGTTTATTCTCTCTATAAAAACGAAACATTATTTAAAAATTAAAAAAAAAATATTGCATAAAAAATTTATGGTATCTCATTATAATAGTGTTTTAACTAAATGATAATTTAAAAAAAAAACAATTTAGTTATATCTATCTAACAGTATATATATATATATATGGATCCGATTAAAAAAAATACAATAAAAATATATAAGTTAATAAAGTAAATATATCATTAAATTTATTTTTGTGTATATTACTGTATATTCAATATATTCAATAAAGTTATTAAATTATATTAACTTTGATTTATTATTATATACTAACAATGATTTTATTATTATCGGTGTTGTTATTGTTGTTTTATTGTCTGTTACTATTAATATCATATTATATAAAAAAATGTTTTTAACACTTGAAATAAGAGATAATCGTTAACCATTTACTACATAACTATATATATATATATATATATATATATATATATATATATATATATATGATATAAATTATATCGCAAACAAAATAGATAATAAACGAGATATAAAATAAACATTTAGTATAACAATTTTATGTATGTATGTATGTATGTGTGTGTGTGTGTTTGTATGTATGTGTGTGTGTGTGTGTGTGTGTGTGTTTGTTTGTTTGTTTGTATGCACAAACAAGTATAGTATGGATAGTCAGTCACACACATACATACTGTACACTAATGTATAGATAGTCGGGTCGATAGACGTCTATATGGATTCACACAAATAGTTTAGCAGAGATTCTGTACATCAAATATGATATAATAAATATGTTATATATATAATTGACTGAACTTTGACACTGGTATATATACAGTTATATATCCACCTCCCTATGCTCTATAAACTTTCATTCAAGGATAAAATAACAAAATGTGGGGTCACAAAATCTTAGGGGGGGTCATTTGTCTTGATCCCACCCTAGCACCCCTTGCTTAACCCTGATACATACATACATATATATAATTGCCCGGTGCTTAATTCTCCAATAGTTTTTTGATTTTTTTTAAAAAGGGTTATATTATATAACTTATATACAAGTATATGGGCGTTGACACTATACTATCAATATATAGATACCATATATATATATTATACATACCAGTGCCTCATCAGTACATTATTACTGTATTGATGGTCACACACACACATATATACAGTATATATGTTAAATAAATTTTAGACATACAGTCTAATTTGTTATTTAAATCTAAAGTTTTATATACCGTATATATATATATATATATATTGAGTACTTAAGATAAAATATTTATCTCAGATTTTGTGTAATTAAAAATATATTTTTTTTGGTGAATATTTTTAATAACAATTTTTATTTTAATAATAACAACAAACTGTATGTATTTTTAAAAAGTTATTAAATTACATTTGATTTAATATATAAATTTATATAACAAAAAATAATAATAATAATAAACAAAAATAAAAATGCTATTATTTAAATTATTATTATTATTTTTTAATCATATAACTTATATTAAATAATTAAACTTTTTAATTTTATTATAAAATAACTTTTATATAAATGTGTTAATTATTTAAAATTAAGTTTAAGGGGAA